GGTGTGGTTTGTCTGTGCTGTGTGGTTTTCCTGTGCAGTGTGGTTTTCCTGTGCAGTGTGGTTTTCCTGTTCAGTGTGGTTTTCCTGTGCAGTGTGGTTTGTCTGTGCTGTGTGGTTTGTCTGTGCTGTGTGGTTTTCCTGTGCTGTGTGGTTTCCTGTGTGATGCGGTTTTCTTGTACAGCACTGATCCCCTCTTTCATTTGAGAATGGAGCTGTACATTGTGCAACTCCCTCCCTGTTTTGAGACAGCCTCTGAAATGTAATCCCCTTCGGGACTTTGATGTAATTCCCTTTTAATGAGTGCCTAGTCTGTCTCTAGGTTATGCACACCCCCACCACCCTTTAATGTTTAGAACCAACACTTCAGGCTTAATCACTTCCAAATCAGACTCTGCCCCTCGGCGCCACAGATTATTAAGTTTGAGCACAGACAAAATCATCCAAGAGACAATGTTGCTCCCTGTGCCTCACTCTCCTGCAAATCAAAAGTGTTCTGATAGTGAGTCAGGTAAGTTCAATGTGAGAGTTATTGAAAGCACAGGCAAGTTGTGGCAATTTTTATCTCATCAGAAGGCTGCATGAAATCCCAGTACATTACATTTAAATTGCATGCAGGTGGCCAATTTTGATTTTATGAGTTTCTATTACACACAGGCATCTTTCCTGCTTGCTTACCCATGTGCCACTGACATAATCAGGAGCTAGTATCCTGTGGCCAGTGTACTGATGTGGGGCCTCCCACACAGTTTTCTGAGCACCCTCTGCCATCTTGCCCACTCCAGCACGTTCCGTAAGACCCAGCCCATTACATTGAGATTTTCTGAAGAAGGGTCTAGACCCGAAACGTCAGCTTTCCTGCTCCTCTGATGCTGCTTGGCCTGCTGTGTTCATCCAGCTCTACACCTTGTTATCTTATTACATTGAGATTTCTGATTGTGCGAAGCTGCCAGAATGCATTACCTCACTCTGAAGAATCATAACTGCATGATTGAAATGATGTAGTTCTAGAGTAGCTGAGGTGCCATACAGCTGTGCTAAGGCCGACCCACTCCTAGAGAAAGAAGAAGATAGTTTAAGTATATAAGTATATATTATTTCTTCTCTTTTAAAATTAATTTGTCTTTCCTTGGAGAATTCTACTATGTTTCTTTTCTGTTAGGTTTGCTGATTGGTTCTTAAAAGTCATTTTTAGAAAAGGCTGTTAAGGGAGCACAATAACCTGGCCGTATTTCCAAAACAATTGTTAATACTTTAATAAACTGCCAAGCGCAATTCACCCACAAGCCTATTGGGTCTGATTTAGAAGGCATACAAATGTAATTTAAAAAAGCCTTTGACAAAATGAAGACTGCTTAATCCTCTTAAATCTTGATTTAGATAAAATGTTTGGTATGGTCTTGGATCTGTTTCTACTCTCATATTGTGATTGTAAGCGTTGCTGAATTTTATTAGTTACTGAAGGCACAAGAAACTTGTGTCAGTTTCATTTAATCAATAAGGCAGCATCAAATCCTAACAAGATCTAATTTCAGGTATACTGCATTATGCTGGATATTACATCAGAGAGAAGGCTGTGATTTCAAGAAATAGAATGGAGTAACCCCCCTTAATAAATTAAGATGCAAATTTAATAGTGGAGTTGAGTAATTAATTGTTCTAAAAAACTGTAGTACACGGTGGATAGTCTGAAAGTAACTTTACAATTCATAATGTCTGTTTTCCTTGCAGTGTGCATTTTAACCCAATTGGCCAAGATCATCTGATTTCTATTAACTGCAGAATTGAAGCTATAAATGCTTGGTAAATAGAATCACTGAAGAATTTAGATGACTAATATAAACCTGAATAAGGGAAAGAGCAAAGTTACTCCAAATTATTTTCATGTGTGTCTTGGATATATTGAGAGATCAACCATTGTGCTGTGTAAAAAATGATTATAGATAAAAGCAATAGGAATATGTCACTAATCATTCAAACTTACTTTGCTTGGAAAGCATTGTTAGTGCCTCTGTGGTCCAAGTCATGACACAGGCAGCCTACCATTAGACCAAGAACTTCTGTGTCTGTCAAAAGTTCCTGAAAATCTGCAGTCTGGCAAAACAACAAATGTGTGTCAGGCAGAGTTGACTAACCCGAAAGATTTTGTCAATGGGGCTGTCAGAGCAAGATAACAGTATTTATAGCAAGTGCACCCATTTACAGAAAGTTATCCAATAGACATAATTACATAGGCTGTAATAACTATCTGACAGCTTTTTATTTTTGTGGCTCTGTTAATCTGTGTTATAGATATCTGAGATACTATACAGGATGCAACTCCAAAGAACTCTAATATGAGTGAATCTGAATGGAATAGCCTGCTGATATTTACTCCAAGACTTAAAGAAATTCCTAAGAGGGAAGCTACAGGTTTTGCGTAGTCAGCCATCTTGGTTTTGGAAAAAATAATGAACTCTGCATTTAAACATTTGTGTTGAAGGGAAAGTTTTGCCCAATGGTATTGGAGGAATGGTGTATGAAGATTTGCTGCTGCCTGCTGAAATACAGTATGTTAATGCAAAGCTGCAGTAACTTTATCCCAAGAACAAAATGGCAGATATTCCACCCTCTGTATAATATATGTTGAATTATCTAGTGGCCAACTGTAAAGAAAAATACTTATCTTCAGAATAAATTTGCATGTCTACCCTGTAAAGGATTGTAAACAATCTTATTAAAGGAATTTCTAATCCGGATACGGCAAAAACTATTTCATTGTGGTTTTATTTTAAATGGGTAAAATGGCTCTGTCAAAATAATAGAAGAATTGGAAAGTGAACTAACATTTTCTGCAGTAATACTGACGACATTAATTTCCAGATGTATACATGTTGATTTTTTAAAAAATTGAATCATGGGTTGTGAACTTTGCTGGCTGGACCAGCATTTATTGCCCATTCCTGGTTGCCTTTAAGGTAGTGGTGAGCTGCCTTCTTGAACCACTGCAGTCCACCTGCTATAGGTTGACCCACAATGCCGTTAGGGAGAGAGTTCCAGAAACTTCAACCCAGCGACAGCGAGGGAATGACGATATATTTCCAAGTTAGGATGGTGAGTGACTTGGAGGGGAACTTACAGCTGGTGGTGTTCCTATGTATCTGCTGCCCTTGTCCTTCCAGATAGTAGTGCTTGGAAGGTTCTATCTAAAGACCCTTGGTGACTTGTTGTAGGGTACCTTGTTCATGATATGCACTGCTGCTACTCTGCATTGGTGTGCAGGAAGTGGGTATTTGTGGTTGTAATGCCAATCAAGTGGACTTTTTCCTGGATAGTGTCAAACTTATTGGGTGTTGTTGGAGCAGCACCCATCCAGGTATATGGGAAGTATTTCATCACACTCCTGACTTGTACCTTGTAAATGGTGGACAGACTTTGAGGAGTCAGGAGGTGAGTTATTTGCTATAGGCTTCCTAGTTTCTGAACTGCGCTTGTAGCCAAAATTTTTATATAGCTGGTCAAGTTCAGTTTCCAGTCAAAGGCAACTCCCTGGATATTGATAATTGGGGATTTAATATGGAAATACTATCAGACATCAAGATGTAATGGTCAGATTCTCTCTTATTGACAATGATCATTGTCTGGCATTTGTGTGATGCGAATGTTACGTGCCACTGGTCAGCCTAAACCTGGATATCATTCAGGTTTTGTTGCATGTAAACATTAGATGCCTCAACAGCTGAGGTGTTGCGAATGGTACTGAACATTCCGCAATCATCAGAAAAAAATGCCCATTTCTTACCTTGTGGAGGAGGGAATGCCATTGATGAATCAGCTGAAGATAGTTCAGTCAAGGACACTAACTTGAGAAACTCCTGGAGAGATGTCCTGGAGCTGAGATGACTGACTTCCAGCAACCACAACCATCCTGTGTGCCAGGTCTGATTCCAAGGAGTGGAGAGCTTTCTCCCAATTCCCACTGATTCTAGTTTCTACAAGGCCCCTTAATGCCACATTAAATCAAATATGGCCGTGATGTCAAGGACAGTTATTCTCGCCACCCATTTGGAGTTCAGCTCTTTTGTCCAGGTTGAAACCAAAGCTATAATGAGGGCAGTAGCTGAGTGGCCTGTCATTTAGGACATTGTTAATGGGAGATGACCTCTCAGGTACAAACGTAAAGTTTTGGAAAAGAAGACCCTCTTTTGTAATTGCCATCAAAATAACTAAACGCAATGCCATAAACATGGCCAGCAACTAGAGCCGGCCATTTGTAATTACAGGCAGACCTGAAGTGTAAAAGATTAATGCGAATATATTAGATAAGAAGGTCAACATCATCATCATGAAAAGTGATGAAAGATCACATGACACATCACTCTTCTTAGCAGTCTCATGGTGGAGGCTCAGTCTTTTTGTGGAAAGGTCTCAGCAGGGATCTTTTTGAGCTCTGAAAGGAGACATTTTGAAAAGCGGTTGACTACTATTCAAGATGACTAGAGGTAAAACTCCACATGGTCATACCTCTGGAGCTGCCATTGCATTATTTAAAGACATTTAAAGAGATTCCAAACATCATCATTTTAGACAATGACCCACAATTTACTAACAAATTCTTCAAGCAGTTGACTAAAGCTTACCAATTTTCCCGTTCAATTAGTGCCCTGAGATACAGAAGCTAATGATGAGGATTGTAGTGGAGTGAAACAAGTAAGTAAAGGCTTTATTGGAAAGGAATAATGACATTAACCTGGCATTGCTAAGATATTATTCCACCCCACTGCAGAATAGTTTGGCTCCACGTGAGCTTCAGTGTTGGAAGGACACTGCAGACTCAACTTGCCACTCTTCATGTGCAAATCTCACAGAACTATAGTTGAACAGAATGAGGAAGAAAGAGGAGGAATGAATCCCATTCTAGTCAAATATGAAATTAACAATAGTCATCACAAACTATCAGACCTACAGAGTGTTTCAGAGATAGCAGGCAGTGCAGATGCTGGAGAATCTGAGATAACAAGGTGTAGAGCTGGATGAACACAGCAGGCCAAGCAGCATCAGAGGAGCAGGAAGGCTGACGTTTCGGGCCTAGACCCTTCTTCAGAAAATGGGTCTAGGCC